ATTTATTTATTTTTAAGATTTTATTTATTCATTTGACAGCGAGAGAGACAGCGAGAGAGGGAATACAAGCAGGGGGAGTGGGAGAGGGAGAAGCAGGCCTCGCGCGGAGCAGGGAGCCCGATGCGGGACTCGATCCCAGGACCCCGGGACCATGACCTGAGCCGAAGGCAGACGCTTAATGACTGAGCCACCCAGGCGCCCCTTGTAATTGGATTTTAGAGTTCCAGAGCCCAGTCTGTATTTAGTGTATCTGTTTCCACGCCCCACCCCCACCCCCAGAACTAAGGTCTGGGTTTCTGGTAAATTACTGAGTCCAGAGTTGGAATCCCTAGGGAGTATTTTACCTCAAGGCACAATTAGTCATCAGAATTACCTGCAGGGCTTGTTAAAACACGGGGAATGTTTTACTTCTAATCAGTTTCTGGGTGATCCTATGCGGCTGGTCCAGGACCACATTTTGAGAACCACGACCTATGCCATACAGCTTTCCCTTTCTTTTCTTGCTTCTTAGCTACCCCGTCCCTGAAACTGCCCCCCATGAGAGAGGCAGAAGTCAGGGTGATGCTGGCTGGTGGGGGAATTACAGAATTGAAATTAACAAGAGAAGCTTGAATTACTTGAATCACCTATAAGAGTTGCCTCTATGCCTTTCCCAGGAAATATAATTTCTTAATTTCTTTTCTTTCACAAATTAACCTTTTACCCATAGCAGATAATTTTTCTGTCAAAAAGACAATCTTTTATCTTTAGAATACAATCTCAACTTTAATCCTTCCTTCTGATGAGAATTAAGTCCGTTTCCTTCCTTTTTTTATTGAGATATAATGAACATATAATATTATGTTAGTTTCAGGTACACACCATGATGATTCGATAATCGTAGATATTGCTAAATGATCGCCACAATAAGTCTAGTTAATGTCTATCACAGTTACATTTTTTTTCTTGCGATGAGAGCTTTTACGATCTACTCTCTTAGCAACTTTCAAATACACAATACAGTATTATTAGCTATAGGCACCATGCTGTGCATGACCTCCCCAGGATTTACTTCTTTTATAACTGGAAAATTGTACCTTTTCACCACCTTCACATTTCCCTCTTATTCTGAATTCATCTCCCCTTTATTGTCAAACAAAATACCCATGGAAGAAAAGCTCATGTTTACTGAGGGCCTACTATGTGCCAAGGACTTCATTAATACTGCTTAGTGATTTACATGAGCCATCTCAAAGGATCTTCCCAAGAATTTTGCAAAGTATATGTTATTCACTCATTTTACATATGAGTAGTTTGAGGGTTAGGGAGATTTTGTGGTTGCCCGAGGCCACCTCAGTAAGTCCCAGGTAGGACAAGGATTCAAATCCAGACCTGATTCCAGAGATCAAGTTATATTGTAATAGCATTCTATTTTCTATAATATTTATCTGCTATACTATAAAATAATCAACTACAAAATGAAAGATTTGCCACATATTAAACAAGTCTGTGATCCACCATTCATTCAGTATCTGTTTTTATTAAGTACATACTATGTGCCATGTGCTATAGTTAGGCCCTGTGAATACAATGGTATAAAAGATAGAACTCTTCAAAATACATCTTACCAGACTATCTTATAAAAATGTATTTTATTTTATTTTAAAGATTTTATGTGTGTATTTATTTATTTGAGATATAGAGAACGCATGCATGAGCACACAGGGAGAGAAGCAGAGGGAGACGGACAAGCAGACTTCTGGCTGAGCAGGAACCTATAGTGGGGCTTGATCCCACTACCCAGAGATCAGGACCTGAGCTGAAATCAAGAGTCTGACGCTCAACTAACTGAGCCACCCAGATGCTCCTAAAAATTTATTTTTTTAAAGATTATATTTATTTATTTGAGACAAAAAGCATGAGCAGGGGGAGGGGCAGAGGGAGATGGAAAGAAAGAATCCTCCAGCTGACTCCCCAGTGAGCGAGGAGCCCACATGGGCTCCATCCCAGGACCCTGGTACATCACCTGAGCCAAAGGCAAACGCTTAACCGACTGAGCCACCCAGGCACCACAAATTTTAATTTTAAAATAGTTTGTTCTTGGGACGCCTGGGTGGCTCAGATGGATAACCGGCTGCCTTCGGCTCAGGTCATGATCCCAGGGTCCTGGGATCGAGCCCCACATCGGGCTCCTGGCTCAGCGGGGAGCCTGCTTCTCCCTCTCCCTCTGCCTCTCTCCCTGCTCATGCTTTCTCTTCTCTCTCTCTGTATCTCTGTGTCTCAAATGAATAAATAAAATCCTTTAAAAAATAAAAAATAAATAAAATAGTTTGTCCTTTGATTCAAATTGTTCCCAAAAGTACATACCATTCGACTTAGAATTGTATTCCTTCTGCCTCTATTTCTAGCAAACTTCCTTGATGTTCTATAAATTCAATTTAACAAACTTTGTTTCCTATTTGTCTTAAAGGAGCATGTGTTGCTTTAATTTTTAAAATATTTTTATTTTTTGAATGAATGATATATTTATATAGCTCAAAATTTAAAAGAAACAAAAGGGTATAGAGTAAAACTTCATCTCCCACCCCCGGCCCCCAGCTCCCCAGATCTCCCCAGAGGCAACCACTAGTGTATGTATACATTGTCTTCCTCCCTTCCTTTCTTAACACAAATATTTGGTTACTATCTACTTTTCTTTCCATGGACATAACTTGGAGATCATGCCAAATCAATAAATATAGTTACCTTCTTCTTTTTAACAGTTGAGTATAGAAATAACTCTAAAATGTACCATACAATATTTAACTAGTCCCCTGTTGATGAACATATAACATGCTCCAATATTTTGCTATTATGAAGAATTCCACAAGGACTACTCTTGTATGTTTATCAATTACACATGAGCAAGTCTATCTGTAAGATAATTTCCTGTAAGGGGAAGCGCTGGGTCAAAGTCAAATGGTATGTGCATTTGTAATTTAAAAAATGTTCCATTACAGAGTTTTTCAAGCATTACAAAAGGAAAGAGACTAATATAATGAACCCCTACACACCCGTCACACAGCTTCCAGTTGCCAATAATCCATGGCTGATATTATTTCATATATATATATATATATTGGCCCTATTCATTCCCCCCACCTCAAATTATTTTGCAACGATTTCAGACATAATGTTATCTCATTGGTAAATATTTTGGCATTATTTCTGAAAGCTAAGGGCTTTAAGAATGTGTGTGTGTGTGTGTGTGTGTACCATTTCATTATCACACCTAAAATAAATTCATAATAACTTATCAATGTCATCCACTATCTTGTTAGTGTCACACTTCCCCAAACTGTCTCATGAAAATTTATTTTTGAAATGGTGTGTTCTTTGTTTCAGAATCTATTCAAGTCCACCCTATTCATTGCAGCTAGTTAAATCTTCTGGTGCCCCCCCCCCCCAGCTCTCCCTCTCTCTCCGTCTCTGGAAGATCGTTCTGTAACTTGCAACTATACAGACAACAAATCTAGATAACTGTCAGAGGGAAAAGGCTTGTCTACGCACACTTTGCTCAAGATACTGGCCTGCTTTGACTATCATTGGGAGTGCAGGTCTGGAGCCCACACTTCTGTCCTTGGTGAGAACCTGTCAGGTTCAGGGAGGAATGGCGGAAGGAAGGCTGGGTTCCCCACATCCGGTTCCGACTGGGCTCACTGCTGTGGCCACTCTCAGCGCTCTGGAGGGCAATAGAGTGAGGGGCATTTCCTGCCCTGCACGCTACTCGCATGGCTTTGCCATCTGACAGACTCCAGGTCAAATCCCAACCGGCATAATTATTCTCAGGAGGCCTTGAGCAAATCTCTCTGAGCTGAAGTTTCCTCGCCTTAAAACTGGGGTATTAATCCTTATCTTCAAGGGGTGAGACTCAAACGATAGAACATGGAGAGCTAGAGCTCAATGAGTGTAGCTAATAGGACTCGCAAGTTCTGTGATTCCATGATGGAGACCCACGGAGAGTCTCAAATACCCCCCAGACACTGAGCGTCAACTAAGAGAAAAGAATCAAATAGCTCTTCTTTCTCTGAGGCCCACTGATTGTTAATTATAACATGCCGGCCCACGGCACTCCCGCTCTCCCTCTGCTGTCCTCTCCTCCGCTCATCTTCCCCGGAGTCGGCAGGGGAGGCTGCCACCCACTCGAGAGCAAACATTTCTATCCTGATGCTCGCTTTCCTGCGGGTTGAGGGGTGCCATCTGTCCCTACTAAGTGTGGGCCTCAGGCCCAGGGGCCGGGCTTTCAGTGCGGGAGGCACTCTCTGCAGCTCACCTTTGTTTTCTCGCCCCGAGGGAACAACAGAACGTCTGAACAGCCCCCTGGCCCCAGCCTAGCGGAACAAAGAACCTGGCATTATCCATTCGCTCTGGCCATCTGCTCGGCTCATTTCGGGACAGAGAGGGGTCTGCGGGGTAAGGCGAAAAAGCCCACGGTGCACATACATCCCAGGCCCTGGCCTCCTGACGCTGCAAGACCGGATCAGTGGTCCCCGTTCCGCACCCCAGCCCACCCCCACCCGTTCTCGGGCTTCGGCTGGCGTAGCGTTCCCCGGACCCGGGCGGAGAGTGCGGGCGTGCGGAGACCCCTGCCACTCCGCCCCGGCGTGGAGAGACCCTGGGTGGTGGCCGCAGCGACCCGCGCACGGCCCTTGCCCTCAACTCGGCCCTATGAGCCCACGCCAGGCACGGAGCTCCGGTAACCCCCGCGCGTTAGAGACCCAGGGGGATCGGAGCCCAAGGCACACAAAGAGTTGGGGTCCGCTTGCGCCCCCGGCCACCGGGAGGCCGACGGGCGCCCACCCCCCCGCGCCCCCACGCCGCTGCCCGAGCGCCGAGCCCGCGCCGCCGGCGTCTCGGAGGCGTGCGTCTCCTTATATGGTCAGATGACACGGCGGGGGTTCTCTCGGGCGGGAGCCGCGGCGCTCCACCCGGCCGCCCCGCCGCAGCCCCGCGCCGCCGCCGCCACCGCCCCGGGACGCCTGCCTGGTCCCCAGAGCCCGCCCGCGCCGCGCGGTGAGTGCCCTCCTCCTGCGCCCCCCGCGGGAAGCCGACGCCTTGGGGACCAGGGGCCTACCGCTGGAGAGCCGGGGAGACTGGAGCCGAGACGTGGGGGAGACCCGGGAGAGGCGAGCGGAGATGCGGGGGAGACCCCGGGAAAGGGGGACCGAGCCGAGAGCGCGACCCGGGCGGAGGGGAGCAGAACCGGGCGGACGCCTGGGAGGGGGAGCCAGGCCTTGGAGGCGACCCGGAGACCGAGGAGCCGAGGTGCGGGGGGAGACCGGGGAGAGGGAAGCTGAGCCCTGGAGAGATCCGGGGAGAGGGGAGCGTAGCTGCGGGGTGACCCTGGGCAGAGGGGAGCAGAACCGTGAGGACACCTGGGAGAGGGGAGCAGATCCGTGGGTTACCCAGGGAGAGGGGAGCGGAGCCGCGCGGGAGACCCCGAGAAAAGCCGGGCAAGGGGAGAACTGTGGGGACATCAAGGAGAGGGGACCCGAGCCTTGGGGGAGACCCGGGCAGAGGGGAGCAGAACCGTGGGGACACCTGGGAGAGGCGAGCGAGCCTTGGGGGAGCCCAAGAGAGGGGAGCTGAGCCTTCGGGACACTCGGGGAGAAGGGAGCCGAGCCTTGGGGGAGACCCGGGGGGAAGGAGCTGAACTGTGTTGGGGAGAGCCGGGGCGGGGGGGGCGCTGTAGGCAGGAGGGACCCACCGCCCCATGCCCGGAGGGAAGACCGAAGTCCGAGTCCTGGCCAGGCGGGTTACCGCGGGGTGGGAGCGGGATGACTGACACCCACGGGAGAGCCCTGGGCAAAGGCTGGCCGCAGGTGACAGCCCCTGCCCTCCCAGGGGGCCAGAACTCGGGAGTGTGAGCGAGTTGTCCCGTCGGCGAGCCCCACGGTTGCCATCTGCCTGTGGGGGTGACCAGCGCATTCCCCTGCGGTCCAAAGGTGTGGAGCTCCCGATGTGGCCTCAGGCATTGACTCGTGTAGAACTTGAAATACTGAACCATCAGGTTTAAAAATGTGGGCTTATTTTAAACGAGAAAAATTCTGATTCTTAAGTGGTGTCCCAGGGTGATATTTTAGCATACCTGAAATTTTGGGAAGAAAGGGTTCAATGTGGTTTCCTATTTAAATTAAGAATCAATCATGCCTCTTTTCAGATCCCAGTTTGGGTTTCCATTGGAAATAGTCTAACCCAGTTTAAATGAAATGTATACAGCTGCCTTCCATGATGTGCACTTATGGTGTGCACTCCCTTGCACTTATTTTGGGAGGTAATAAATCACAGGTGGGGCTTATAATCAGGAGACCTGTGTTCGAAACACAAGGCCATATACTTCTTGCAGCTCTGGCACCAAGTACTGGGGACATACCTGAATATTTCAAGGAGGCCTTCTGCTGTGTATTTTGACTCACAATTGCTTGTTAAACCACCTCCAGTACTGAAAAAAAGTCTGAGTTGCAGACAAACAAAGCCCTGTAGGATATTGAAAAATAATTAGGCTGGACATCAGAAGGCCTGGGTTCTTTTTTTTTTAAGATTTATTTATTTTTTTATTAGAGAGAGAGAATGAGGGGAGGGAGGGGCAGAAGGGAAGGGAGAGAATCTTAAGCAGACTCCCTGCTGAGTGAGGAGCCCAACATTGGGCTGCTCTCATGACCCATGAGATCATGACCTGAGCCGAAATCAAGAGTCAGATGCTTAACTGTCTGAGCCATCCAGGCGCCCTAGGAGGCCTGGGTTCTATCCCTGTTCTGCATCTAAGGATGCATTACCCAGCCTCGGGCTAGGGTGGCTTCATTTGTCAACAAGGCGGCTGGAGTGAGTAAGCTTCTCTCTGCCTCAGATGCCATGAGATAACAAAGTTCCTTGAGCTTGAGTGAACAAAAAGAGATATTGGATACTTCCTGTGTAGTTTTATTATGAGAATTCCATCAAAGCCCATTTATCATGTGGAATTATACTGAGAAGCCACTTCCTGAACATGGCTACCTTGGGCAAAATGACCAGGCTCTTCTCTAGTGACCAAGAGCCTAGTCTTCCAGGAGACCAAGCAGGCATTGTGACTTTGGGGTGAGTCACCAGGTACCTCTGTTGTCTGGAATTGTGGATTTCGACCTTGGCCCCGATGATGGTTAATTTTATGTCAACTTGACTGGGCCTCAGGATGTCTAGACAATTGTTCAGACATTACTTCTGGGTGTATCTGTGAGGGTGTTTCTGGATGAGACTAACATTTGAATCTGTAGACTGATTGCCCTTCTGAATATGGGTGAGCCTCATCCAATCTGTTGAAGACGTGACCATAAAGGCTGAGCAAGTGGGAATTCCTCTTGCCTGGGATATCAGTCTTTTACAGCCTTCAGACTCAGACTGAAGAGAAAACTAAGTTAAGAGTGCACTCCACCTGCCTGACTGCAGAGCTGGGACGTTGGTCCTTTCCAGCCTTTGGGCTCAAACTGAAACTCAGCTCTTCTTGGGTCTTGGGACTGCTGGCTTTTGAACTGTAACTTACACCATTGGCTCTTCCTGTTCTCAGGCCTTCTGCAGATCTTGGGACTTATTAGCTTCCATAATAGTGTGAACCAATGCCTTGTAACAAATCTCTTTTTATATATGTGTGTGTGTGTGTGTGTGTCTGTGTGTATATGTATGTATACCTATGTATATATCCTATTGGTTCTGTTTCTCTGGAGAACCTAATACAGTTCTCTAGTAACTTTGCTTAAAAATTCTCCTGCCAGCAGGGCACCTGGGTGGCTCAGTCAGTTAAGCATCTGACTCTTGGTTTCATCTCAGGTCATGATCTCAGGGTCGTGAATTCGAGCCCTGTGTCAGGCTCCGCACTCAGCACGGAGTCTGCTTGAGATTCTCTGCCTCTGCCCCTCCCCCTGCTTGCTCTCTCACTCTTTCTCTCTCTCTCAAATAAAATCTTTTTTTTTTAAAGATTTTATTTATTTATTTGAGAGAGAGAATGAAATAGAGAGAGAGAGAGAGCATGAGAGGGGGAGGGTCCGAGGAAGAAGCAGACGCCCTGCTGAGCAGGGAGCCCGATGCGGGACTCGATCCCGGGACTCCAGGATCATGACCTGAGCCGAAGGCAGTCGCTTAACCAACTGAGCCACCCAGGCGCCCATCTCTCAAATAAAATCTTAAAAAAAAAAATTCTCCCACCAGCAATCATCTTGCTTTTTAAAGACTCCATGACTACTTGGCCACTGGTGGTGTTGCCTTTCCTCTTGCTATAAAATACGGCTCCCCTCCTGGAGATCTAATGAGAGGCCTGGGGCAGCATCCGGGGTCTCAACCATTAGTTCAGTTGTCGTGAGTGATTCTCACTTGGACATCATGTGTCATCACACTCGTCCTTGGCCTTCGTAATCCGTACGTTTCCTGCCCTGAGTCAGTCTGTGGCTTAAGGATCTTTAGGCTCGTGGTACTAAGTGAGGCAGGTGATGTCTGGGCCAGTAAGAGAAGAAGCTGCCCTGTTTTTGTGGGTAAAGAAAATGAATATCCCAGGGCATCCTTGAAGTCTGGAGATATTTAGGTTTCCAGTCAAAAAGAAAATGGATCTGTCCGTGTTTGATGATACAACTTTTGGAACCAATGAGAATTAGCGAGCCAATGAAGAAGGAAGCCGGAGATGTGCAAGCCTGTCCTGACAAGATCCCGAAGCAGTATGCTAAAGCAGCACCATGAAGGAACAGGACGGGTAGAAGGAAGAAGCCAGCCCATCATGGACACATTGGGCGTCGCCATAGGAAGAGGCCAGTTGGGGCTCATAGCAGATGGAAGGCCAGGCAGACAGAAAGTAAACAATGAGCTGCCTTTTGGAGACTGGGGGAGACTGATGAGAGAGAGTGAGCAGATTTCATTTTGTTCCTGTGGAAACAAAGCATAAATAATGTGTTCACATATTCCCAGGAAGGTGGTGGTAGAGCTATGGGGGGGGCTCCCCCAAAGCCCCCTCACTGGGGTGATTTATGAGCCTGAGTCAGCCCGCCATTCTAGCTGGCATAATTATGCTTGTCTTTTGTTGACTGAACTGACATGTTTTGAGATTAAATGACAAGATGGTATCTTAAAGGTGATTTAAATTCTTTGGGGCTAGAACTATGCTGGAACTCTTTTAGAGATTCTATGTTTTTGTCCAGCCACCCACTATCTAAAACAGTATGTGGAGAATAGTGGTTACTCAATACATTCTTATTGACTGGTTTTAAAAGCTATAGGACATCAAACCAGTATCATCATTCTTGTATTCATGGACTTAAGGTCAGAAACTTTGCATTTATTATTTTCCCATTTCTTTTCATTATTCAGTATTCCAAAGATAATCTGGAAGATAGTGGTTTACCTTAGTCACGCGTTGTCTCTCATACAAAATGTTCCCTTTTTTTTAAAGATTTATTTATTTATTTTAGAAAGGGGGGAGCCCGAGCAGGGTGGGGGACAGAAGGAGAGGGAGAGGGAGAGAGAGAATCCCTGAGCAGACTCCCCACTGAGCACAGAGCCCGACGATGCTGGGACTCCATCCCAGGACCTGGAGATCATGACCTTAGCTGAAATCAAGTGCGGGCCGCCCAACTGACCGAGCCACCCAGGCGCCCCTCAACACAGAATGTTTCATAAAACCATCAGAGACAAATCAAGATTTTTTTTTAAGTTTTTGAAAGTTACCTGTTTCTATACCAAATTATAAAACATCCCTGACCCCTGCCCATATACTCTGTAAAGGCTCATTAAATTAATCCAGACGTTTATCACATAGTAGTAGGCCTAGTCAATCTTACATCTTACCAAGCATCTAAAAATCAATTTCAGGGCGCCTAGGTGGCTCAGTCAGTTAAGCGTCTGCCTTAGGCTCAGGTCATGATCTCAGGGTCCTGGGATCATCGAGTCCCGAGCCCCGTGTTGGGCTCCTTACTCAGTGGGGAGTCTGCCTCTCCCTCTCCATCTGCTTCTTCCCCGACTCATGCTCTCTCTCACGCTGTCTCTCAAATAAATAAATA